CAGAAATTGAATAATTGAACTTTGGTTACTGGAATGTAAGCTTATTAACTGGCATTAATAAAACCAAACATATAGAATGATGCTCTTAATATTATTTTAATAAAATCCCTTCTAAATAGAAGTAAATGTAACAAACATGAAGCATTATAAAATGTTTTAGCAAGAGGTTTTATACATTTTTTAAGTAAAAGAATAATCTTTTACGCAAGGGAAAGTGAATATTATGTTCTTCTTTGAAAATAGATGGTTGGGAACTGTTAGTTCTTTTCAGTGTGTGGGCATAATGACTGGCATTAGAATACCAACCAATAAAAATGAAACTGAACAAAGAAGTGTTGGGGGAAGAATCCTACATGAAATACGCACAAAGGCCCCCCTATGTCTTCACCTCCTAAAAGGGTTCCCAGACTATAAGGGTATATTGCATTTTCCATGTCGCTCTTTATCCCAAATCACCATGAAGATCCTTACCTTCGGAAATAGCTTTCTCAGTGGAATTTCAAACTTCTTTGGTTACACAAGAAACTACTTTATTCATCTATCTATTAATGTGTTTTGTTATGTATTTGTCTGTTCATTTTCTTCACTCATTTTACTAAAATGCAAACTGGATAACCTGCCACATGGTAGGAGCTCAATGAATATTTATGAGTTTTTGAACTAATTTGTCATTTTATTACTCAAAAACATAGTCAATGCTTCCCACATAACAAGTTCTAGATACCCAATATTAAAAAGAAATTCCACTGTAAAAAAAAATAAAACTAACTCGTGAGAAATCTTTAAATTAGGGGAATGACGTAATATTTTCTCACTTTACATTCCATCTAAATTTAAACTAAGAGGATAATTCCCTGCCCTGCCAAAGAAGAGTGGCAGGGAAAATGTATACTGTATGGCACGAGTCCCAAAAGGATATAACACAGAACTCTGGGTAAAAGTGAAACAGCTGGTTGTGGGTGTAGCTATCAAGAGGCAGCAGGAGGGATCTTTGTGATGATGGAACAGGGTTGTGTCTTGACGGTGATGGTGGTTACACAAATCAATACATGTGCTGAAATTGATATGGCTAAGTACACACACACACCCACTCACACATAAATGAGTGCATGTAAAACCAAATACATCTGAATTAAAGTTGGTGAACTGTACCAATATCAATTTGCTGGGGGATGCTGCGCTGTAACCATGCAAGAGGTCACCACCGAGGGAAATGAGCGAAGTGTGCTAGAGACCTCTTTCTACTATTTCTTGTAACTGCATATCAATCTATAATTATTTCAAAAGAGTTAACAAAATGAAACAGCAGGATGCTTATCAAAACATTCTTTATATTAGCAAACACTGGCACCAAGATAAATGTCCAAGGAGTGAACCTATACGACAATATATTGAGTAATTACAAATAATAAAATTCTATGTTTGTGACATGGAGGGTATTCTCCAGCAGGATTTATAAAATGTAAAAGTAGGATTTGATTTTGTTAAAAAGGAAAGAGCATTGGTATAGGTATATACCAAAAGGCCACCAGTGTCTATCTTAATTTTGCTTCTTCATATGTGTTATCATTTTCTAAAATAAACGCTATTACTCAAATAAATATCTAAAAAGCTTTCTGTCTCTGGTGGGGTTCAGGTAAAGTCTTTGTAGCTCTAGGACAAAAACCAAGGTGAGTGGGAAGATTACATGGAAAGCCATTTTAGTTCCATGGAAGGACGAAGGAGACCTGCAAGACTCATGGGGCGCGCACCATCACCTTATGACCCCCGACCCCCGACGTGAATGCTGTTCGCCAGGACCAGGGGAATTCCTCATGAGCAGTCACGTGGAGGGGAGCCTGGCTTACGCAGACCAGGATGCTGGGCCCAGCCGCTTCCCGTTCTAAAGTTCTGTGCCATTTGCTTCTGCGATGAATTTAACAGACACCACCTTTCATTTCAAAGCCCCTTTTACGTTTCAAAGCATTTTCACATATGCTGGTTGATATTCACTTCAGTTTGGTACATTTAAAAAAATTTCCTACACTTCTATAGAGTAAGCAGGGCAAGTATTATCACCTCCATGTTCTTGGAGAGAAAGCGAAGGCAACCAGATAGCGATCTCCGGTTACGGGTGAAGGATAAGATCACATCTCCCAGCTCTTGACTTAGGGCTCCATCCCTTCTCCTTCCTAACACCACACAGCCTCTCCCTTCCCTCCAGGGCTTGGAAACTGGACAGACTTGGCCGAAAGTTGCTTGCATGTTGTTTGCCAGTGGAAAGAATATCAACAATGCTTGGTACAGAGTAATAGTAAGTACTGCTAATGATATACCCATCTGACTGTTCCCACATACTTACATTGACCAGGGTAATGTCAAGTAACCAATATGTCAACTCAGCTTAAAAATCAAGATCAATCAAACCAGTTGGATGACTTGAACAGCCCAAGAGGCCGATGAATGTAGCGGGTGCTGTCAGTCAATATAATTGCCCCATACCTGTGTCCCCATAGTCCCAGGAAGGAGCCGTAAGTGGGGCTTCTGGGCTGGTTAAATAGTGAATGGGGTTCGTATGGGCTTAATGAAGCAGGGCTTTGTTAGTTTTACCAAAGGAATTAACAGAGGAATTTCATATTTATTTTGTAGTGGTAGCAGATTAAGCACTTCAGCAATAATGTGGCAATTCACCAAAACAGGTCTTAGTTAGGTGCTATCTGAAATCATGAAATTAAGTGGGAAAACATACACATGGAAAAGGTTTCTATGTTTTAGAAAAATAAATCCAAATTTTAGATAAATGATACTCTTCACAGAGTATACTAAATAAATGACATATTTTCATTGGCGGATAGCGCCATTTACACTCATTCATTATTTTCCACGTGCCAAGCCCTCCTCTGAGCACCCCTCCCCAGAACCACCCCAGAAAAGTCGTTACAGGAGGTAACTGGAGGGTCAGCGATGCCAAGGTCATTTCTCTCAAGTCACCCAGCCATCAAGTAGAAGCAACAGGACTTCAACAAAGGTCTGATGACTCCCAAACCGCATGCTTCGCCATTATTTGTTCTCTGAAAACACTGACAGAATATGCTCTTTTTATGGAAAGGAATGAAAATGTCCTTAAAATGGCATAATCAATCACTCCAGGAGATACAGCGTTAACTTGGAAACAATGAGAGAAACCAGGCTGCACATGACGCAGAACAACACACCAGGAAGAGGTGAGTGGAGAAAAAGAAAGACGTGCAGTCAGCCTGCCGGTATTGTAAACAGATTATCGATCAAGGCGATAATCTCAAAAATGTTTGATGTGCTTTGCTTCTTAGTTACGTAAAAATCCAGTCTCCACACCCTGGCCAGTGTGCTCAGTGGTTAGAGCACCATCCCATGCACCGAAGGGTCTCGGGTTCGATTCCCAGGCAAGGGCATGTACCTGGGTTCCCCGGCCCTGGTCAGGGTTGTGCAAGAGGCAACCAATTGATATGTTTCTCTCCTTCTCCCCCCAACCCCAAATCCCTTCTATTCTCTCTAAAAATCAATGGAAAAAATATCCTCAGGTGAGAATTAGCAACAACAAATCCAGTCTCCACATTCAACCTACTCACTTATTCAACAAACAGTTTTGGGCACCGACCATATGCCAGGCAGGACAGTCACCACACTGACAGATAACAAAGGTCTGGGCTCGGTGGCGTTCGCATGAGCTTCTTGAGAAAAGTAGGTTGTAGGAAGGGAGCTTGAGGTAGAAGATTTGGGTTTTAATCCTGGCCAGATGGCCTTAAGCAAATTACTTGAAATCTTTCTAAGTCTCAGTTCCCCACCTCTAAACTGAGGATAAAAATATCTGTTTTTATTATATCATCTTTTATTAGAAATAATTTTAGTTTATATGTGAGAAAAAAAACTACTTATTCTTTGGTCTTAGAGAAACTGAGGTAGTTGATGAGAAATAAAAGTTTTGTCCTCATTATTAAATCTTTCAAAATATTTCATTCCATATTTTCCATGATCTAAGCTCTCTGGGTTTAATGTTAACCATGTGTAAGACTTGTGGGGTCAGGAGAAGGTCACTCTTCCATACCTAGCTACCAACTTCAAAATCTGTGTTACAGGCTTACGGTGCCATAGTTACGTACGTTTCTCCTTATTGTGGAAGGAAGTTGGGTTGAAATGATATCTTAGTGATTATTTCATTTTAAAACTCATATAGGGTGATGTCGCTTCTTGTCTACCTGTTTAGAAACAGATCCACAGCAACTGATTATTTCTAAAATCTTTGAGTAATGTTTCTTGCTATGTTCTTCCATAATGATATTATTTCATTGTGAGAGCGAAATGAGAGCTCAGTGGAGATGGGTGTGTCACAGGCCCACAGGAATGACCACTGCCCAGCCTCTGGCCGTACTTTATTGATCAAATCCAAGAAAAGAGATTGGATCCAGGCTCGCCCCTAATCTACCCTTCCCCAGGAAGGGGTGGGGTGCGGGAGGATCTCCAAGCCTGTTTTTATCAGCTCAGCAAGTCAGAGTCCTGCTCTCTAAACAGAGAGGTGCCAACCTTAAGACTCTATGAAAGCCAACGACAAGCCCAGCATTGTACACAAGCGACAAGAATACAATTAGCAAAGTTATAGTCACAATTAGGAAATCCCTCCTCAGACAGGTTTCCGCTGCGCTCTGAGCGCTGGCTGCTTGAGTTCCCATTGTGCTCAGCGAGGCCCCGGCTCTCGGCCTGCCCGGACCTCGGACAGACAGGAGAGTGCTCACGCCATCCCCGAAACCCAGACATACACTATCTAACGCCAGACCCTGTTTTTTAATAACACCTGCGGAAAAGGTGACAATTGGGACATGGAAGCTATAATTTAATAAAATAAGAAGCGTAGTCCCAGAAATGACTAGTCAAGTGTTAGCAAACTCATTCTTTCTCCAGGCTCCTTCTTCCTCTCCTCCAGCCTCCCCTTCCCATCCCGAGAGGGAGACCCGGACAGAGACGAGGAAGCCAAGATGGGTACTCACTTCATCTCCAGGATCTCCTCGAGCTGCTTCCTCCTCTCTATCCGGAGGTTGGCCAAGTGCGCCTCCTTCTCCGCCAGCGACTGCTGCGTGGAGGCGAGGCGCGCCTTGGTGGCGTCCAGTTCCTGCCTGGTCTTCTCCAGCGCGTTCATCAGCTCCTCTATCTGAAAGGCACACGGAATGGACTGTTATTGCTCCGTCCTTCCAGCACACGGCCTGGCTTGCCAGCCTGTGTTCTGAAACAGACACAAAGGAATCAGGGCCATCTTTGAACTGGGCACTGTCTCTTGAAGTTCGTTTTTCCTTTGTCCCTGGCTAAGAACAAAAGTTTCCAACACTGAAAATGTCCAGATTTCTCCAAGATCCTCATTCAATTGGACTGTCAAATAACCTTCATAGAAACCATCTGACATATTTATTAAAAGTGGAGGGTGAGGGACTTGACCCAGTTTCAACTGTGTTTGGCAAAAATCAAAGATGGTGGAAGGCAACGTCCAAAATGCACAATGTGGCCCTGTGTGCGGGCCCCGGAGCATTTCGACAGGAGGCCGACCTGCGTGGTTCAGATGTGTTCATGGCTGAACCTATCAAAGCCTTGTTTGGCAGAAGTGACTTGATGTCCAGGGGCCTCGGGAGCTCCCTTTCACCCCACCTCCCGGCCTCACAGGCAGGAAGCACTATTTGGCCAAAGGTAAACAGAATTCCAGCCACAAAAGGTTCAAGTTTGGTTTGCCCTGAAGTTTGAGAGGGTTCTAAACTTGAAATAAATGACATGTAACTTTTATAGGGTGCTAATACACCATAGAAATAAGCCAGACTATCAAATATCCAGGGTTTTCAGCCAGGTCCCAAAAAATTGGACCAAGAAGCCCCAAGGCAAGGCCTTATCCTCCCCAAACCACTGGGGGCTTTTAAAAACCAACGCGCAACAAAGAGGGCTGGTGTTTATGGTTCTGTTCCAGAGACTTCTGTGGAGCGGGCTGGTGGCATGCCATCCCTTGCAGGGGCAGGCCGCGTCCACCCTGCTGATTTAAAACCATGGACGTTCCAGGAAGTTTCTAGATTCCAGAGTTGATGTTTGGGTTTCTAAGCCAGCCCTTTCAGCTAAACTTGGCAGAATAGGATCATCCATCACTAAAGGCAAAGGAACACACTTCAAAATGTGTCAGTGACATGTTAAGTTCCAATTCATAAAGACTTTCTACACAATTTCTGCAGCTCTACATGGAATTTATTCAGAATAAGCCTTATAGTTCACATCCAAGGTAAATTACAGGCTTTTAAGATTCATAAAACTCTCCATTTTTGCCCTGATAAAAAGAAGAAACTTGACAACCATGTAATGTAGCTCAAAGCCAAAACCAAGAACAGTTTAGAAAGCAAGGGATATAAAGGTTAATCTATTATGGTCACAGAAACACACCTGTTTAATTGGAGAATAAATGGCATTATTCTTTAACTTGACAAATATATAAAAATTAAAATACTATCACAAACTTTTTAGTTTCTCACATGAGTTCACAGAATATCGTAAGTATGACTAGAAATCCTTCTACAAAGCAATACTTGGTGAGGCTGAGGCAGAAATGTTATTTTTCCTCCTTTTCCCTGTTTTGGTTACATTCAATATCAGTGTAGAAAGAGATCAGGAGGGTCCAGAGAGCACAGGAAGACCCTGGACTCACCTCCTCCCACAAATACATTGACCCGACGACACCTACAGGCAGAGCAACCCGCCAGAGGAACAACTGAGGGCTGCCTGAGCAGCGTCCGCATGAGCCATGACAGAGACACCACTCAGAATCAGGCTGGAGAGACGGAGACAGGGTTCCATGGGAACCCACACCCACAAATCAAACTGCAGTAGAGTGGGGCACGGAGCAGCCTCGTGCAGACACCCCGGCCTGGGGGTACAGCATAAAAGCAGTCATTTAAAGGGCACCTAGACTAAATGGAAATAAATAAATCGTCTAACTCTAGAGCACCTGCCAAATTGGAGTGAGGGGAGCTGGAAATCCCTTTGGGGTTAGAGGCTCCAGAGAGCACCATTTGTTATATTTTTCCCACGACCTTGAGCACACAGGCAGAAGGTCAATCAAGGAGCTGTAGCCGCTGGCCAAGGCCACACTAGTGCACCCCAGGCTCTAGGCCCCAGGTCCACACCTGCCCCACCTCTTGCCCTGGGACTCCATGCGGCTTGCACCTGCTCCAGCCATAGCTCCTGGCCCCGCCCACAGCCCACACCAGCTTCAGTTACACCTACAGCTCCTGGCCAGTGCTGCTTACCCTCAGGACTCCCCACAGGTTCCCCCTCACCTACCAAGACAGCCTCTGGCGCGGCTTACCACTGGGAGCCCTTGTGGCTCACATGAGTTCCAGCTACAGTTCCGGTTGTTGCACAGCTTGTCCCAGGAATGCCTGTTGGCCTGAGCTGCTTCAGCTCCAGCTCCAGCCCAGGCACAGGTTGCCTCTGGAGTTCCCATGGCCCGTGCCCACTAGCTGCAGCTGCAGCCAGCCTGCCACAGGCACCTGACACTCTCACTCCACAGAGGGGAAGCCCCTACTCAAGGCCACTCCTTCAAGACCAAGAGAGGTTGCTATTGTCACCTAATTCATAGACTAAAACTCAGAGAAACAACCAAAATGCAGAGACATAGGACTATGTTCATAACGAAAGAACAGGAAAAATAAACTAAATGAAACAAAGACAAGTAATCTACCAGATAATGAATTCAAAACACTGGTGACAAGGATGCTCAACAAACTCGGGAGAAGAAGAATTTAGTGAGAACATCAAGAAAGGGACAGAAAATACAAAAAGAACCAATCAGAACTGACCAATACAATAATGAAAATGAAAAATATATTAGAGGAGCCCTGGCCAGTTTGGCTTATCAGTTAGAATGTTGGCCTGCAGACCAAAGGGTCACGGGTTTGATTCACAGTCAAGGGCATGTACCTGGGTTGCAGGTTCCCTGGCCCTGGTCAGGGTCATGTGGGAGGTAATCAATCGATGTGTCTTTCTCACATCGATGTTTCTCTCCCTCCCACCCTCCAACTCTATCTTAAATTCAATGGAAAAATATCCTCGGGTGAGGATTAACCATATATATATGGAAATCAAAAGAAGATTAGATGATATAGAAGGCTGAATTGACAACCTGAAAGACAAGTAGTAGAAATCACAGGATAGGAATAATAAAAAGGAAAAGAAATGAGGATAGTTAAAGGAACCTCTGAGACAACATCAAGCATACCAACATTTGCATCATAGGATAGAGGAAAGGATAGAGAACCTATTTGAAGAAATGTTTAAAAACCTGCCTAACCTGGTGAAGGAAACAGACATCTATATCCAGGAGGCCCAGAGAGTCCCAAATGTGATCAACTCAAAGAGGCCCACACCAAGTCACATCATAATTAAAATACCAAAAGTTGCCCTGCCCGACAGCTCTGCTGGTTAGAGCGTTGTCCTAATATGCCAAAGTTACAGGTTTGATCTTTGGTCCGGGCACATATATAAGAAGTAACCAACGAAAGCATAAATAAGGGGAACAACAAAAGAGAGAGCTCTTGCTCTAAAATAAATAGATAATTTTTTTTTAAAAGACCAAGAGTTAAAGATAAGGAGAGAATCTTTAAAGTAGCAAGAGAAAATCAGTTTGTTACACATAGGGAAAACCCATCACTATCAGCTAATCTTTCAGCAGAAACCTTTCAGAACAGAAGGGAATGGTACAATATATTCAAAGTAACGAAAGGAAAAACCTAACACCAAGACTACTATTTTCCAGAAAGGCTAGCTTTCAGCCCTGGCTGGTTTGGCTCAGCGGTTAGAGTGTCGGTCCGAGGACCAGTGAGACACGGGTTCAATTCTGGTCAAGGGCATGTACCTCAGTTGCAATTCGTCCCCAGCCCTGGTCAGGTCATGCAGGAGGTAACCAGTCAATGTGGCACTATCACATTGATGTTTCTCTCTATCTCTCCCTCCATTCCACTCTATCTAATGATAAATAGAAAAATATCCTTGGGTGAGGAATAAAAAAAGAAAGGCTCTCTTTCAGAAGTGAAGGAAAAATAGTTTCCCAGACAAGCAAAAGCTAAAGGGGTTCATCACCACTAAACTGACACTATGAGAAATGTTAAAAGGACTTCTTTAAGTAGGAAAAAAAAAGGCTGAAACTAAAAATAAGAAAAAAAGTCTCAATGACAGTAGATGAACCAATTATAAAGCTACTATTAAAGTAAAAAGACAAAGGTAATAAGATCATGTGTAACTACAGTAATAAATGAAAGGATACAGACACAAACACACAGCGTGAAATATAATGCCAAAAAACATAAACGTGGGGAGGAGTGAGTAAAAAAAATGTTTTTGATTGCAAGTGACCATCAACTTAAAATAAACTGTCATAAACACAGCTATTATATATGCATCTCAAGTAACCACAAACCAAAAAAAAATTACGATATACAAAAAATAAAGGAAAAGAAACTCAAATTATTAAATAAAGTCATCAATCTGCAAGAGAAGAGAGCAAGAGATAAACAGAAAAGAACAACAACAAAAATTAATAAAATTACAATAACTACACACTTATCCATGAATACTTTAAATGTAAATGGACTAAATGTTATAGTCAATAGACATATGGTGGTAGAATGGATTAAAAGAAAAAGACCCAAGCAGATGGCAGATGCTGTCTACAAGAGACTCACTTCAGATCGAAAGACACACACAGAATGAAAATAGAGATTAGAAAAATATATTTCATAAAAATTGAAACAAAAAGAAGTCTGGGGTAGCTATACTTATATCAGACAAAATAAACATAAAAAAAAAAGGGGGGGGGGACTGGAACAACAGACAGACAAAGAAGGGCATTACATAATGAAAAAGGGATCAATCCAACAAAAGGATATAACACTTGTAAAGATCTATGCACCGAATGTAGGAGCACCTAAATAAAGAATAAATACTAACAGACAATAGGGAGAGATCTGAAGCACTACAATAAAAGCAGGCAACTTCAACACTCCATCTACATCAATGGATGGATCCAGGCAAAAAAATCAATGAGGAAACAATGACCTTAAATTAATGACATTCTATCAAAAGCCTTACTAGATATTTACAGAACATTTCATCTTAAAATAGCAGAAT